AATTTTGTGGTTTGGGGGTTCTTGTGTCTTGCTCCCACACCAGGGCGAGCTGAGAGCGGACGTGGGGACGCGTGGACACACGTATCCACCCCCGGGGGCCCTTGAGGCCCGTACGCCCATGGGGACGTGGGGACGCAGGGACGCACGTCTCCCCCCTGGGGGCCCTTGAGGCCCATACCCCCGTGGGGGATGTGGGGACGCGGGGACGCGCGTTCCCCTGCTCCCCTTTGTGGGGCCCTTGAGGCTTGTACGCCCGTGGGGACATGGCAACGTAGGGACGCGGGGACGCACGTCTCCCCACCTCCTTGGGGGCCCCTCGAGGTCCGTACCCCCGTGGGGATGTGGGGACGCAGGGACGTGGGGACGTGGGGACGTGGCGACTTGGCGACGTGGGGACGTGGGGACACGGGGACACGGGGACACGGGGACGCGGGGTCGCGGGGGCATGGGGGCGCACGTTTTCCCGGCCCCTTTTGGGGCCCTTGAGGCCCGTACCCCCGTGGGGATATGGGGACACGGGAATGCTCCTCCTCGGCCGCCCGGCAATGAAATACGGGGAAGCCCGGCGACGTGGGGTCGTGGGGATGCTGGGGACATGAAGCCTCTGCCAGGCGGGGACGGAATTCGGGGACGCCTGGCGACGTGCACTGATGGGGACTCTGGGGACGGAAACCGCCCTCCACGTGGCGACGTCCCCACCCCAGGTCGGTGATGTCCCACACCCCGTCCCCGGGAAAATTTGGGGACGTCCCCAGAGATTGCGTTACTCTTGCGACGGGGTGCACATGAATGAAGCAGCGGCCTGAATTGAGCGTTGCTGTTCCACACCTATTCCACAGCTAGCCACCAAGGTTCAAGAATTCAGCTACTGCATGTGGGTGACAGCATATCAATGGCGGTAATTGCCACGTGCTGTTGCCGTTTGTGATCATGCCATGGCATGCTTGGGACAATACGGAACTGCTCGTCATGCTGATGGCCCACATTTGGCAATCTGAACTTGCTCACCACCTTCTTTTCCGTCTCGAAGGTGCCAACTGATGGAAGACACGTTCTTTTCAAGGCACTACTCGAAGCAACTGTTCTAAGTACTAAGTTTCTCAACGCGCTCTCTATGTGTGTGCAATTTTGTTGGCATGGGATAAATGATGGATTCTGACGTGGTAGTGCGACTGGCGTGGAGCGGCGCTTGCGGCAGCAGAGCTATTTGGGAACTGATAGCAAACGCTGTAGGGATGGCTAATACACCAACACCATTAAATCGTCAAGATTGCGTCACTGTCAGAAAAAAGCACAGTTTGCCAGTACAAATTATATAATACTGGCAGAGGGTGTCTGGCAGTATTGCGCGGAATATTTCACGAGCACATGCAAAATTTCGCTTCCCAAACAAGTGTGCTGTGCTGCCATAGTCAAGAATGGAACTTGCGCTTATAAATCATTTAAGACGCTTAGATTAGTCCCTTAGACATTGCAAGTCACAAGCATCCTTCGCGTACAATTCCAACGTGCAATAGCATGTTTGAGCCAACTACAGTCATGCCTCCGTCCCGAGGCCATCTGTGCACGTGGGTGCAATGGGCGCACCATGTCCAAAAGCAACGCGCGCCAAAGGCACAATTTCCTCGACGTCAAAAAATTTTCCCTCCCACTCTGCACACATTTTCCACAAGCCCGCCAAAACTCGCAATCCAAGAAACAGCAGAGGGTGCTTCAACGCAAGTGACCGGAGCCAGGAAATCAGCCTGTGATCCACACTCCGTAGAGATAGTACGAGGAGACAAGGGCCAAGAGCCCAGCAGTTGTCCATCGACTTGTTGTCGGTCATCGGCAATATCTGAGCACGAGCTTTCAAACTTTCCTGATCGCTTGGAAATGAAAATTCTTACCCCAATCCTCATCGGTCTGCCCCATCACCTTCATGCTAAGATGGATCCACAGTTCTGCAATCGCCTGCAGCACAGCAAGAATGAAACAGTTGATGGCATTTCCCGTCGTATGTGACCAAACCCTGGTGGGAAATGGCCCAAGCATGGCAGACAGGCAAGCGATCAGCACCACAGCAGTTGCATGACCAGGACCCGGCAGGACGTGGCATATAACAAAGGTTATCTTGGGCTGATGTGCCATGGTGTAGCTGGTAATGCTTGTGCATCCGCAGCAGCCAGATCTTTACAGCATCAGCCACCAGATGTACACTTCCAAAATTTATGAAACGTGCACACGCAGAGGCTATTTTGCTGAGTGCACGATTTTCTTCCATCTGGTGTGATGAGCTGCTTCATTTCTACTTGATTAAAGCTGCTCACAATGGTAAATAAGAAATAATCTTTGGGTGAAATGGATGCGGGAAAGTGATACTGAATGCTGAGCCCTGTACTCATGTCATCCAAGATGAGTCTGAAGCCGTGCACCGAAAAGGCGAAGACAAAATTTTGTTATGCACATTACATGCTCCCAGAGCGCATCAAGGAGCTGCACCACTGCGCTGCTTCATCAGCTGGAAATCTTCAACCAAAAATCACATCTGTACACGTGCGCTCACAGCATCAATACAGCATCCTCCAAACGCCCACAAACGACCACAGCCAAAAGAGCTGACACCGTTGCAAAATCCCATCAGCACCGCCAACTGCGGTGCCTTTTGACAAGAATAGATAACATCACAGTTTCTTTGATGCCATCACAATCACTGTGATGGCGGCACTCAGTCTTCAAAAAGCATCCCAAAAGTGGTGTTTCCATCAGAGCGCACAAAGTGTGCACACTCTGTGCACTTCACATTCACTTGTGTAGGAACAATCATTTCTCCATTTCTGATAAATCTCCAAAACACTCTCAACTTTCATGCACCCCAAGGCTGCCAAGCTCCTTTGTTCAAATTTTCCTTCGAATCACAAATAGGGCCGGTGCACCTTGCAGGCGATGACCAGCATGGACCCATTCAAAAAGTGTTTCTGTCTGTCATGTACTCATTCCATATGCTCTCACCTCAAGGTTGCGTGCATAGCGAATGGGCCCCACGTACGCTGGCTCGAATCCAGATGCGCGCACCAGCTCCTCAGCGACGTCCTTCTTCTCTGGTGCCCCCGCATACAGCATGGCCAGCTGCTGGCCGTTTATCGCACTGCCGTCGGGGGCGTGCATGTGGTCCACACCGGTGGTGTTCCACGCCTTGAAAACGAACGAATCTGGCAGGGCCGCAGCCAGCACCTCTCCACCTGTGTGCAAGACCACTGAGATGATCGATCTTCTCTGCTGAGCGAGATTGCAGTGTGCACGATCTTTGCACAAGTTCAGGATGAGACCAAGATGTGGCAAATCCTTAACATGTGCAAGTTTAGAAGAGCAAGTTGCGCTGCTGGCAGCATCGAAGCACTGGTGGGGTCATCAGGACTCTGAGGGGCTCTGAGCTTTGGCAGTGGGCCAGCAGTTCTGTTATGGGGGCAGCTCTCAGAGCAAGCCAAGGGATTCTCTGAACTCTTACAACCTGTTGATGGCTCACAATTGGACAACAAGTGAATACATTTGACTCGCAGAGCACCTAGAGCAAAGCCTAACAAGTGGTGCATCTCTGTTGCATTGACAGCCGCAGAAAAAATCGTTTGCCCTGAAGTGAGGCTGTGTGATCCACAGGCCTTGTTGGCAAGCCCACCTGAAGTCGCCTGCTGCCAGCGAAGCTCGCATTCTGGGAAGGGTGTTGTCGCGTTAGTTGTATCAAGGACAACCTTGCCCTTGGCACCTGGCCCAAGAGAAGCAGCAAAAGCTTGGATGCCGGCGTCTTCAGGTGGCACTGCAATACAGGGCAACAGACATTTACAGCAGTCAGGACAGCTGTATTGGGCCCAATGGGTGCCAACGATCAACATGTAAGCCCTGTTCAATAAATGCACATTGACAGCAGTGTCTGAGCGTTTTCAACTGAGCACTACAAAGATCACTCACAGGGGCTCCAAACCTGCAAGGAGATTACCACCCTCACTGCCTGTTGCCAATTCCCGACTCAGAGCCCACCTTGGGCTTGCTGGGCTTCAGCACAATTGACAGAATGCTGGATGCTCCTCCACTGCAGGTTTTGTTATTGCTTTTTTGGCAGAAATTCACATGTCCACAAGTCCAATGTGTGTAATTCACAAACACCCACTTTTGACTGCCACTATGATGGCCTCCCCCCAATCAACGGCATCAGCGATGGCTGCTCCGCTTGTCCCGGGTTGTTTCTGAATGAGTGCTGCCATATTCTCTGACGATGGGTTCCGGCTTCCATACTTGATGCTGTGGCCAGCTTTCAACAGCTGGCCCCCCAGGCAGGACCCCACAGAGCCAGTACCAATGACGGCGACTTTCATGTTAACGGTGAGCGATGAAGGCGCCAAGTACCACTGCCTGCGGGGCAAGCTGATCATGATAAGCTGCATGGACAACAACTGCCAGAACAGCCATGACAAGTGCACTTTGGAGGCAGTGAAGGACACAAAGAACGACAAGTGTTGCGTCTCGAAATCAGTAGTCTGCGCATCGACCAATTGCACAACCTGAAGAGTAGTGGCGATGGTGATACTTGTGACGGCGTAAGTCATCTTGGCCACTGTTGCCAGCATGTAACACAGTCGCACTTTCTTTCAACAAATCGGCCAAGTCGGCTGACGGTGACCAAGGACTGAAGGGTGGAGGTGCAAGCAACTATCGGCTTGTATGGATTCAGGCAACTCTTGGGAAAGTTGTTGAACTGTGCAACATCCATTGGGATACATTCTATGCTTCACGGAAAGGCACGACTGGCGTGTGGGCTTGTGAAAATGACGTTTGAGAGTTTCAATGGCGACACTCGTTGACCCTTTTTTGCCAGCCAAACCTCAATAGCTGCCAATAAGAATCCGACTCTCGGGGGCAGCGCTTCAAACAAAAAGGATGTCACAGGATTTGCCACGATTTGCTGTCACAGAACCGTGTAAAGACTTCACCAAGAGAGAGCGCCTTCCAAGCAATGAAGGGAAACGCAGTGATCAACGTGGCGCACGATGCCCAAGCACTCTGTAGGCCAGGACAACAGAAATAGCGGATGCGTAGCCAAATGGTAGGGAACAGGGGATACGCAGCGCTTCCGAACACAGCCAACAGGAGCCGCCACGTTTCGGTTGAAAGCTGCAAGTGCGCAACGCTTTTCTCGGGGGCATCAAGATGAGGGGCCAGTGCGCCTGGAGCAAAAGCATTCAACCGCAGCAAGAGACGACATTCAGGACAGTGCAACAGGGCGTCAAGTCGCCATCTTTCTAGCTCAGGCTCGCCGACAGAGAACGCGTCGGCCAAAGCGCGGCTTCGGGTAGTTGTTGGGATCTTGATGGCGCCGAGCACGGAACAAGGCACGCCAGGCCGCCCAGTCACAGGAGAGAACTGCTCCGATCGCTATCGCCGCGCGGAGATGGTTGGGAGCCGATGATTCCCACCTCGACCTCCAAATTGGCACAAGAGGAGTGTACCGCCGCCCAGAAAGCCCCCTTGCGAGGTCGGGGGCTTAGTCGCGTGTTTGCAGGCGGGCGCGCCCTTTAGCCCCGTCGGCAACCTTGTGTTGCGTCCCCCCAGTGCCGTTGTTGTCCCAGATCGTGATGTTAAGGGTCGCGCTCCTGAGGTGGTGGTCGACGCCAGTCGCTTGCCGGTTTTACGTGAGGGTTAACCAGGAAGTACAAGGCGCTTCGTGAGGAATCATGGGACAGTACGTAATTTGTGTGAGGTCGCAGTCTGAAACAGGCGAGACGTTGTGCCGCTGGTGTGGGACCGTCTGGGGTCGAGACACGCATGGCGAGTCCGTCAAAGCCCACCTGAAGCAACAGGTTCGGAGCCCTGCCGTTCACATGACCAGCCGTTAAAATACAAGATCTGTTGGCATTTCTGATGCCTCGAGATCTACGGATGCTATCAAGCACTGAAAGACAAGATGCCTCGTCACGTCAAACATCAAGGCCAATGTACCAAACTCATTAAATTCAATCATAGAGACAAAAATAGTATCATAATTGCATCAAATTAAATGCGCCCACAACACAGTCGCACCCTGACATGGGAAGGATTGTGTAGCGGATAAGGACTATGAGTGCGAGTACATGATGGAAATGGGATAGAGATAGAAAGTAGTATATACACACCCTAAACCCCCAAAACCCACGCCCCACAGCCCAATCCTGACCCGTCTAGACAGGTCTTCTGGAGATGGATGTCGTCATCATGGAGACGGAGAACTCCATCTCCATCACTGTCTCCGTACTGGGAACAGCATACCCTAAAACCAAATTTGGGACTTAGGACTTATAAACGGGTTGGGGGCTTACATTGCCCTATGGTGGTCCGTCTCCATCTCCGTTCCTGTCTCCTTCACCATCTCCATCACTGTGTCCGTCTCTGTCTCGCCTCTGTCACGTCTCCGTGCTTATGGTCTGTATCCCAACACTCTGGCACAATAATGTCGCTGTTGAGGGGGAGCAAGCATTTGGCGGTGCAATTTAAGTGTCATCATAACATTCCAGAAAACCTGAAGCTTCTCGTCTCATTCATGCGTCAAAGCTCCCAGCGGTGGCTGTTTCTGATATTCTACAGCAAGAATTCGAATCCCAGTACTGCGATGGGCAGGCCAGCGTGACACAGATGCTTTGGGATCTTCATCAAATCAAATGCCATTGTGATTCATGGTGATTCATGTTATGCAGTTGCCCCGAAGGGATACCCAAGCAGCCATTGCGCAGTGCAGGTGGGCAATGCATTGCTGAATGGCGATCATGAAAATGACCAACGATATGTTTAATGGGTCTCCAATGGACCTTCATTTACAAAACAGATTTTGCTGGGCAATGGATTTTTTATTGTTTTGCCAATTTTGGCAGATTTATTTTCTACTTCTCCTTTCTCAATAGTCCCGTTTCTGACCATGCCGAAGGAGGGGATTATGCGTGATTCCTAATTTACGTGGGAGAATTCCCTCTGCAAATCTTCGAATTTTAGTGGGAATTTTCTGATTGAGGAAGTACTGAAAGTTGTATACAACGTTCACTCAGAAGCTACGTCCAATGGGGACTTCCGGTAGCCTCCAAATGGAAAGATATTGAATTCTTGCTCCTCAAGTTTCCGGTGCGACATCTCGGCATCTGTGATTTAGACTGATAACCAGCCTCAGTTGCCATCTTGGACCGACAACTGGACTGCATTCTTGCAATATCGAACCGGAGCGTCCACGTCATTCTTCTCAAAACCTTTGACCCACCCTAATCTTGAACAACACCGCTCAAGCTTCCAGGCTTGTTGTTTACGCTGTAAACACAGATAGTATTTAAACTTTATGCGTAAGAATATATTTTACTTTTTTTACGTGTAAAAGCGTGTAAAATTATATATTCTACCGTATACGTTAATAAAACGTAGATAGAGTCCCTTGTACATAGGGACAGTACATGCAGCCTTCGGGAGTCTGGGAAGTGATAGCCAGACGCGTTGGAATGGGCAGAAAACGAATTTTCGTTGCACACCGTCGTGGCCGTTGGCGAGTGCGAAGTCGACGCTGTGTTGCGTGTGCTCGAGAAGGCGGAGGACAGATCATTGCACGCGACTTTTATCGTGTAATCTGTGTGTGACAACAAGCCGCGAAAACGTAAATCCAGGCGTAGACATAGCCTATTTTTCAAATTTACGTTTTTGCGCATAGAAACGTAAACCTAAATGACAAACCTGCAAGCTGCAATTGCGTCCACTGCATTTATACCAGTAAATGTCATTATGACGTCTACCCTGGGGAGTTCCCCCGATGTTGGTGTATACACTCGTTTGTATCAGGTTCTTGTTGTATCATGTTTCCATTTGCATCCTGAATGTTGATATAGTATCCGGCGCATTCAACACTGAAGGGAAACTTCGGTGTGCGGAATATCGAGGAAGAGGGCAGTCTTTGCCACGTTCTGAACTTCACGGCTCGAAACTTCGCCTATGTCACTGCAGCACGATCGCCACCAGCCTTTGTGTCCAGATTTGCTTGCTGGGGCAGCAAAGGCTTTCGTATTATGTGCATAAGTCGCAAAGACTACAGGTCGAAATTTCTAGGAACTGTAAGGCCAATGTGCTGTAAGAGAAAAACGACGTTTCATGCCATACCTAGTCGGAGCATCTTCATGGAGACGCGTAGTCGTATAGAGCACGGTATTTCATGCTGTAGAAACCATCCGTGCACCAGAAGAAACCGATATTCTTGCGATGCCAACTGCGCTGCCATTTTACACCACATATTTTACACCATATGCCATCACATCCACTTTATGCCATTGTAATGACTGTTGTGGCACCACTTTGTGTCAAAACAGCATTGCAGCTGGCATTGCTGACATGGCGATTTCTGATAGTGATGGGCACGTATCATCATGTCATCATAATCACAGGTGGCGCCCTCAATTTTCCAGCTTTGCACAGGGCAGGACATAAAAGCGCACAAAGATAGTGGGTATGTGAAGTACGTTGTGCCAGGGTTCAGGTAATCGGCCGACACCACGGGGCCCAAAGGTCCCTGCGAATTAATTATCAGGGACCTGGTAATATTCACAATGTCAGCAGATCGGCTTTTTTTAAAGCCAAGTCCGCCGAATTTTTTGCTTAAGTTCCGTGCCCTGCATAACAGCTGATGGCATTGAAGTATGTGCGAAGACTGATTCCCTGGGCGGGAGACTGTTATGGAGAACCTGATGGGAGGTTGTCACTGTTGCGGTAAAGCAAATGCTATGGATCTTCTGCCTTTCCCCCCATTTTTCTCCGTCCCATGGTGACAAAAAACCTTTATTGCATGCGCCATAGCCTGAATTTTTTTGGGAAAGTTGCTACAGCTTCCGAAACCAGTCCAAAAGCTGGGCCTTCGGCCCAACGTTCTGCACTCTTGTCGCTCCCACACTGTTTAACAGAATCTGCAACAATCGTTTCCTTCTTCCTTTATGGAAAATGTAGGCACCTTTTTTTGAATGATGGCATTTGCATTTCTCTTCCCGAGCTCATGCGTGCGCAGTCACAGTCAGTGCCCCAACAACCGAGGCCCTGTGCAGAGACTGTTCCCCGCATCCTACCGCCTTCAGCGATGCAATTCACCACCACGATGGGTGGCGCACACTCCCCACCAAGGAATTCCCCATCGATGGGGACTCGCTGCTCCCTTCCCGACATTCCCTCGTGAGCAACAATTGAAACACCTGCCCTGTCCCTGTGCCACCCTTGCGCCCACTGGCCCTTGGCGGTTGCGTGTATGGTGCGGCAATTGCATTCCGCGCAGCGATGGCCAGCCGATGGCTATTGTTAAGCGCCATCGCGGGCCTCTAGAGCTGCTGCGCGG